GGATTTCGAATTGGTTCAACTGGGATACCCAGAACGTAAATGGCACTGAAAAAATGCGTTTATATAGGACGCTTTCATTTATAGAGAATGCTTTAAAAAAAAAAAGATCGGAATAAAGTGCTTGTATGGAAAGCTTTTTAATTTGACATAAGGAAACCTAAGGTTTGTATACCTACAATCTCAAGCAGCCTAGCCATCAGATTCGCTACTCATCTTTGTAAAATATTTGAAGCAGGTGAACCTGAATTGAAATATCAGAGTGCCGCTTTTTAATTAACAATATTAAGGTGTACTCCTAGTGTGGCAGCCTAAAAAGTTGAATTTTAGCGCATATTTTGATCGTTTTTGGCCTGCCTTTTTTTTTTAAATTTTTTTCTTTTTTGTTTTTTTTTTTTTTATTTTTTTATCATATCAGAAAACCGATTCAGTCATTGTTTGAAGACTTATATAGAGAAAAAAATGCACTTAAAAAAGTGGTGGACCGGAATGAACTGAGCCGCTGCTCTTTAAATGACTGTGACTCAAAAACTATTTGAAATTTCGATTTGAAATTTTATGTTATTTTTGAAGATATACACTAATTTCTTTGAAATTACCCTCTTGATGCATATTTTGAACTCTTTGTTATGAAACGACGTTGCATACAGTGAGTGGTCGTTATGTAATTAAATGAAGATTTATGGTGCAGAGGAACTAAAATCAATAAGTACTCTCTTTTTTAAGGGTTTACAACAGTTGACCTACGCTGATGACATCGATAACCTCGGGTTGAACAGCGGTTGCAGGTGACTAAAGACGTCAAACCTCTGTCATCACTAAATAAACATTCGAAATACTCACATCTTGGTTAACACGCGGCATAACTTCGACTCTGCAGAAATTGGTATGAGCTCCAATACCAAAAAGCGCAGAAATACTTAGACAACAAAGTTTGCTTTTGGACGGAGTAGGAAATTGTGAAGTACCCAAAAAATAAGGTGACATTTGAATTTGAACTGCGCGTGTCGAAGGATTTGGAGAATTATTTTTTTTAGGTTGGTAGTACTGTCAGTCACATTTATGTCAAATTTAATGTCAAAATATTCATTAGTGTTTGAGATACGTATCGTTTTGTGTTATCGAAATTTGTTGAGCAAAGAATTTGCATTAAATGATCAGTTCGCCAAAAACTCAACCCATACCGTTCCGCAACCACCGTATTCACCTGATCTGGCGCCGTGCGACTTCTGCCTGTTCACCAAGCTCAAAAGACCGCTGCGGGCACACCGTTTTTATACGATATTCAAGCCGCAGCGAAGACGGAACTGAAGGCCATCCCGGAAAGTGACTACAACCAGTGTTTTGAAGATTGGAAAATCCGTTGGCATAATGTACTACATCTAGTGGGGATTAGTTTGAAGGGGATGAAATTGATTTGGAAGAATAAATAAAGAATTTTCAAAATAAATACAATGTAGTATGTTCCCTATAATGCTCGCCAAAATACATATGTATGTATAAGAAGCATAAATCTGGACAAACATAACGATGATATTGCTTTTGGAATACCCGAAAGAAAAAATTGTATTAAATATTTTTATAAGCTTACAGGGTTTGTCCGGAAAGTAATAGGACTGAGTCAATTTAAAAAAATATTGAACCAATCGTTACAATTCTTTAAAAACTTTCAAAATATGCTCCTTCTGCGTCACGAAAGGCTTTCTCCGTCCTTGAGAGAAGAAGTGCATGCGGCTTGGATCCCCTCTATCGTCCCAAAATGCTTGCCTTTCATCGTCCTTTATAGGCAAGGAAACTAAAAAAAGTCCGGGCCACATTTGGGCTGTAGGGCGGTTGCGGGAGCGTTGGGTTGCCGGCCTTGGTTAGATAGCTGTCCACAAAAAAGGCAGTATGAGCCGGGGTATTTTAGTGATGCAACATCCAATCGGCTGCGATGAATTGTCGGACCCGATTGACTCTACGTTTGAGTCTCTTGAGGACTTCCAAAACTTGGCGTTGACCGTTTGTCCAGGAGGGCCAAATTTATTGGTGTCAATAAAGAGAATGGGCATCGTTTTAACTTTGTCGCGCGAAAATGTTTGCCTCTCTAGGAGTTCGGAGACAACTAACCAGTCTTTCATTCTTTAAGTAGGATCACCCTTTTTTTACTTTCGGAGGGGGAATCTTCAAAGATATTGTCATTCTTGCACGATTCGTATTGCCCGCACGCCTAAGCAGGATTTACGGCGCAGTACGTCTACATGCTAAACTTTGAACCCCGTCGCCATTGTTTATATTTGGCCCACGGAACTGCCGTTAGACATTATATCGTATATTCGCTCTAATTCCGATTAATCCTTATGTTTTTGCTACGTTGTCACTCTTTCTTCCTTAATTGAAGCGTTGTCACCATAAGCTATTCTTTGGTTGTTGCCGCTGCATGATTGCATATACGCTCTATTTCATGAATTTCTTTTGCTGAAACAGTCACTGCGATGTCATCCGCGTATCCAATTATTTGCACCTCCTTGGGTAATGGGAGGCACAGCACTCCATCATATAAGATATTCCACAAAAGTGGGCGCAGGACTGAGGCTTGTGGAACTCCGCCCGTCACCATATAGCTTTGTGATCCTTCGTCTGTGTCGTATAAAAGAACCGTGTACGACAGGTATTTAGAGAGGATATCAGCAAGTAGGGTGGTATTTTCTTTAGTTGAAGAGTTGTTATTATATCAGGCCAGTAGGCTGAATTAAAGGCATTCTTAACATCGAATGTGCTTATTATTCGCTCTAGTATTTTCCCCATCGTGTCTAGCATGCCTTCTTTGACACAGACGCCTCGCTTTGTAACATTTGCTTCGTAGGACTTTCGTCATTCCACCAGTATGCAGGTTTTCTGTGTCTGGCTTGTCTTTTTATGTAGTGTGCCGCCTGTTGTTCCGTTCCTGCAGCAGCGTTGTTCGGGTTGTTATCTAACATAAACTTGAATACTTCCTCATCAATGGTGCCTCTGGTTTGGACTTTTCTTGAGGTACAGAATCTTCATAACGGTATGGGGTTATCTATTTTTAGTGACTGTGCGTTTAAAGGTCGCTTGCCTGCCGGGTAATTTTCCGCATCAGGACACTATTGGCAAATGTTATGTTAATCACGGAACCGTGTCCGTTTTTTTCAAAGGTGTTCTTGTTACCAGTACTTAACAGCATAATGTCCAGCCTTGAGAATGCCTTTAGGAGCGTATTTCCTCTCCTATTCTATTGCCCACGCATTGAAGTCCCCTGCCACAATGTTCATTGTGGTATTCGCAATATCTCGGACCAGATTATCCAGAACTCTTTCGTATTCGTTCTGTTGGACGCTCGGTGGGATGTAACAGCTGTTGCACTTGTGTAGCAGGCATGTCCTGATAATGGCTTAGTTTGGAATGCCTTGTTCCCGCAGGCCGATTACGCTGCTTTTTTCGTTTGATCGGAGCGCCAGTTTTTAGTACTAAGATTTTTGTATTGCTCGCTTATTATTGCCCGGACTCTGCCTGATGCGGCAAACAACTCATCCTCTTTTTATTTTCCTCGTGTCAAGCAGAAATCTCGCCTGGAAAGCAGAAAGGCTTAGCACGGATATTTGCGTGATCTGATGCTTTTTATTGATACTTTATTGATATCACCTAGCTCCTTTCGTCGAGATCCCGAATCTCTACCGTTGTTTCGTGGGTAAGTGCTTTAATTTTTGCCTGATTTCCAAGCACTTTACCTATCTCGTTTGTATAGTCGCCTGTTCTTTCCATTTGCGCATCTTTTAACTCCGGAAGCATTTGGCCTTTGGCCGTCTTTCTAATTCGGATTACATTTTCACCCAGCTACTGGAGAGCTTCATAACAGTACTAAGATAGTCGCTGTAGGTCACATTCCCTGTTCGCGCAATTATGATGACATCAGGTCATCGTGTATATACAACGTCCTTTTCTTCGATCTTGTTCTTGTCGGGTTTTCGACACTCAGCGCCTTTGTGGGCGATCTACCTAAACTCGATGCGCGTTTAAAGGGGTCATATCTCTAGCTCTCTGTTAATTCCGCTATTTGTTACTCCACTGCCGCTATTCATGAGTGCGGCATAGATGTTGCTACTGTTATCATTGTTGCTCAAAGTGTTGGTTATATTGTTACTCATAAATTTATCCACTTTCCACGCTTATTCCCTGCGCATCATGTGCAGGTGTCTATGCTTCCACCCCAGTTCTCTCAGACCTGCCCTTCGCTTTACCGGTCCTGAAAAAGACGTACGGATTAGCGCTTGCCCGGAACAACGCACCCTACTAATCTTAACCCAATCCACACTTCTTGACCAGAGCCCGAAGGGGCTGGTTACAGGCAAACGGCAAGGCTAACACCTCGGCAGAGCAAGCTGTTGTTGTTGTTGTTGTAACGGCAGAGCAAGCTCACATCACCCTGTTCATACTAACAACAGAGAAGTCGTTGCCAGTACGCCACGTTGTGTACCGGTTAAGTTTAGTTCTTTTAACAGCCGCAAGTAACCTGGTGAGCAGACGCTGACCAGGGAGCCGCCCACTATAGTTCCGTCGACCCTGGATATTTTTATTATTCATCACACCTCTGCGTGTTGAAGGGAAAACATATTTCTAAGAGGACGTCATCGGTGATTGCTTATACGTTTAAACTTATTTCGCAACTAACCTGCTACTACAGGCCGTCTGGCGTTCCGCCGACCCATTCGGTAGCTTAGAGCACAGCTATAAAGTTAATACACGATGTACTGCAGTAGTACACTAAGTACGTGGGACGCAAGCGCATCTTTCGGGAACGCCCTCTACCGAATCCAGTCGGTGAGCACACGCTCCGAAGTACATTCGTGGCGGAAGAATATCAGTTCTATTACTTTCCAGACATACTTGAAATGATGTCAAATTAATGCAGAAAAATTTATCATTAATTTATCAGAGAACTTCTTTTTTTCGTTTTGTCTTTCGTGTTATAAACAACCGTTAGGTGAAGAAAAGTTCAGTCCTTTGTGAAGCGATATGTAAAGGTTTATTTCTCATTTTTGTCTATAAGTATGTATGTATGTATGTTTATATAAAGCTATTTAATTTGATTAGCATTCATATTACAATATTATATTTTTAAATGCTTACATAAGAAAAATAGCAGCCACTTTACGTCTGTATGCTTTTAAGTTATAATGAAATTTCTTTATAGTCTACAATAAGCAGAAGTTGAGCCAAGGAAAGGCTGTGGCCATTATAAAAATTAATACTTCTTCTTTCGTCTGGCCGCTTTTCCTGCGGAGGTGCTTGCTTCTGCTTCAGGCACCACTACCGTGCCACCAACAATCTCATCCTTAAGCTCGGAATCGGCAATTTTGCTCTGGGCCTGCATATAGAACATAATGTCGCGCAGTTGCTCCTTGACATCATTCAGCTCAGCTTCGCGTGCCTCCTTGTATTCTTTGTATTGTTTTTCAAGTGTTGCATATTTGGTCTGCCAAGAACTATGATTGCTTTGCAACGTTTTGGAGAATTCACGCTCCTCAGCGAGCTGCTTTTGCATGTCCTTCAATCTGCAATAAATATAAAATATGCGTGTATTCATTTTAAATATTTAAGTTATTGTGACTATTACTTTGTAGCATTTTGTGTCAGCTTGCGCTCCAATATCTGCTTTTCCTTGGTTAGTGTTTGCACTTTTTGCTCCAAAGCGCTCACTTTGCTGCTGTCGTTGTCAGCACCGGCTTTGAAGTCCCGCCATTCCTTTTCCAGGCGATCTAAGCGATCTTCATAATATTTGCGCTGCGTATCCAACTGCGAGGTGAGTAAATATGTGAATTCTAGTTGCATTGAATCGATTTTCTCTTCGCCCTCGTCGTTAGCAGTAGCCACCAATTTGCCATCGGTCTTGTTTTGGAAGAGACGATGTACGAAATTGTCTCCAGCATAGTCCCAGACGCTAGACGTACCCAACTGCATGGCGAAAGTGTGATTCGTGGCACGATAATGTGCCGCAGCGTGACCACCTTGGTAGCGACCACAACCAACGTGACCGCAAATCAGACAAATCCAGAGGGAATCTGTACCCTCGCACTCCATACAAACAGAGTTCTCAAGCAACTCGGGAGTCTGCACATGACGACAAACAGGACATGTGGAATCACCCCATTTTATAAGGCAGTTAGCATGAAAGGCATGATTACATAGTATAGTTAATACGCCATCAACGCTTTCGTCCATACGCTCCAAGCAAACTGTGTTAAATTTAAAACGAATTAAGCAACGATACAAGTAAAAGAGTTTAATATACCTGGACAATTGGGTAGTTCGGTATGACCAGCTGGTGGCACACCATCTCCACCGCGTTCTATTTCCGACACCCATACGGCATGACACAGAGAGTCGGGCTCCAACAAATTATAGGCGGCGCCATTGTACGACTGGTAAAACTCTAAGGCTGCTGCATTCGAGCGAAATCTGTGAAATGTATAGTAATTAAAATTGAGTTCAAAGTACGGTTTTGATGTTCCTTTTAATTACTCTAGTATCACCATAAATTGGTTGGGACTTCCGTCGCGTACAATGCGTATGTGTCGAATCGCCGACTGGCAGGGCGCTACAAAGCCCATTAAGTCATGACAGCTTACACTGGCGGGCACCGCCAACAAGCATAACTTATCGGATGGTCCCTCTTTTAATTCCTTACGCTCACTGGGATATTATATTAAAAAGCAAATTAGGTGAATTAGTTTAAAAAATAAGTGGTAATCTATCTATAGTTTAGCTTACTTTTTCTTGTATAAATGCACAATGCCATTGGTAACTTCCGGATTTCCGGAGAAGAACCCAATTTCTTTGGGAAATTCAGGTGCACATTGTCCTTCTTCGAGCGGTGTAGCTTCACGTGAACCACTAGCTGTTGAGCGCAAATCCCTTTTACGTTCGCCACTCATATCAATCGGTACAGTAGCTTCACCCTCAAGTGTTGGCTGATGTGCTTCAGCTGCTGAAAGCTGTAGCTCGTCGGCGTCTGCCAACAAACGATTTGTGTAGGTTTCAATTACAATCTGGTTGGCTTGTCGCAGACCACGATCACGCTCACGTTCTTTTAGCATGCGCGGATTAGTGGGATGTTCAGCAGACGTGGCTCCGGGTTCTGTAAGTCAATAATTAGTTATATTCTTTCGTAATGCTTATAAAAACTACGCACCAAAGTCCTCACTCAGCTGTGGGTCAATTTCGATTTTTACGATGCACAATGAAACCTGATTTGGCATTTGTTGTTGATGTTAGACAATTTCCCGTTCTACCCTTTATGTTTAACCAATAATACAAAGCTAAAATTTGCCGAAGTTACTTCGGAATCAGCAGCGATTTTATATTCTGCACTTTATCGCACAATTGTCTTTGTTTTTTTCTTCCAAAATTTTTATTTGTGATTCAACGCTCTTTCGTAAAATTTTTTTAAAGGTTTTTTTTTAAATTTTCCTCATGAAATTCACAATTTTTAGCTTTTGTTTACAAATTTTTGCGAAAGTGGGAATAAAAACAGAGCAAATAAATAGTGAACGTCAAAATTTTGAACAAAATAAACACAGCGTTGCTTTCCTAGCGGTATAGAATTTAATTGGCAGTACTCTTTCTTTGCCTGATAGATGGCGCGCAACACAATGTGTTTGTGTTCCTGTTCGATATGTATTTAGATATTTTATAACTTATAGAGTTCTTTTGAAATTTTGTGTGCTTATTGTGTTTATAATATTGTATGGATAATAGAGATAATACACTACAAACAGCGAATTGATGCTATTAGCTATGTAAATGGACTTTCCGTTTTTGCACTAATGAACCATTAATTTTATGTTGAAAAGAAACTTCTTTTTTACATAATTGAGTTAAATCAAAGTGGACATATAGTAGTGATTAATCTTAAAAATTTCAATATCCTAATAAATATTCATTTTGAATATTAACAGTTCTTTAACAGAAGTTAGAAAAACAAAGAATGAATGAAGTGTGTGACGTCATTATAGAGCAGGCATTTTTTAAACGTCTATACTCTCTCGACCGTGTTCACTTTAAAAATGAAATTCGACTGACTTATAAATAGGTTTTCCAACTTTGCATATGTACTTTTGGAACATAAAGCCATTTCAAGGCTTATAGAACGTTTATGCAGAAAGCATAAAATAATAATTTCCAAGAGAACGTGCTCAGAAGTAGTAGAAATATTTGGGTTGAGTAAATACCATAATACTGAGCTCCAGTTATTTTGGTTGTTCCAGAGTAATTGTACAAAGTAATTTAAAGCCATCAATAATCTCTACGAGTTTCTGTCTGTTATTCTGTGTACTTCATAAAATATATGTATAAGCAGCTAATTTATTATTATAATTTCGTGAAAATGAAGAATCAAAACTGTGAAGCTTACAATGCTTTCAATTCTTTGAAATATAGCTCATACAACTATTCGTCAATGCCATAAAACTCTGTGGCCATGTAATGATAGCACACTGTTAATATCACTGCAATCAAGCTCCCTTAGCTGACGTTAACGGTGCTGTTGACGGCCACGTCCTTCCTCGGCCTCGTCCTTCCGTTCGTTGTCGTTTTCACGTCGGCTTCATTGTTGTTGTACAAATTGCCTTTCGTATGTTGCCCTTGCGTAGTCGCTGTCGGCGAGGTTGTTGTGTTGGACAACATTTTGCGCTACAGCCTGCTTCTTCTTGTTTTACATTGCTCTTGCTTGCTTTATAACAGCGATTCGCCTCTACAAGTTTACATGGGTTGGTACGTGTGTGAGGGTTCTGTTTGTTGTTGAATGCCGACACATGTCCAGTTCGGCTCTGTTCAACGTGGCAGCGCCGCAACAACAACAGAGCCAAGCAGCATTGAGGCGTTTCAGTGGCCTTACACGGCGCCAGCGACGACTTCTACTGGCAGTAACTGTTGGTGCGGCGTTGTTTTTGGACATACTGTAGTAGTTGCTCTTGCGGATGGCGCATGAAGCGCGACGATGACGAAGTGTACTGTTAGTGTGCCGTCGGTAGCAGTGTGCCGTGGACGAGTGTGACGATGTAACGCTACTATTTGTTGCATTCACCGTTGAGTTGTTGTTGTAGTTGTGCGGTTTATCATTTCGACTCTGTTGTTTTGCGAGCGTGTGGGCTAGTGGCGCGTCGCGTAGCAACCGTTAGTGAGTACTTACGAGCACACATGCGGACGTGTGTGGGGAGGTGTGTCTGTGTGTTGAGCTTGTTATGAATGAGTGATTTGTGTAGTAAATTTATACAGTGTCTGATTTGCAACAATTGTTGTTGCAGAGTGTGAAAACAAAAGGCGGAAAAAATAACAACAACAGCGAAAGAGAGCAGGCAACAGGGCAAAATAAGTAAAATAACGGCTCATTCTGCAGGTTTTTGCATTTGTGCGTTTGTCTCCTTTGTTTGGCTGCATTTAATTAGCCTAGCAGCTGAAGCAATTTAACAACAACAAGTGCCGAGCCTGAGTCGATGAAAACAACAAAAAAAATACGTATAAGCAAGCGCAGACAGACAACAAGTAAATCAGCAGTCGTTTATGCGAAAAAGTTGTAAAATGTGATGGACTCAAGGGAATGTGGCCCTGCAGTGGGAGGTAAATAAATGGCGGATGGCGGATCACAATTTGCAAATCTGCTTTGAGTTGTTTTTATTTTTGTTCAGTGTTTTTTTTTTCGTTTTTCGTTTTTGTTTTTAGTGCAGCGCAAACAATTTAAACACAAACTTCATTAATTAGTTAATTAACTAATTACAAAAGAAAATTAGAAATTCACACAGCAGCAAAAGCAAACAAGCGTCCGAGCCACGAGTGTACCAACGGCAGGGGGGTTTGCAAAGAGGGAATGCGGAAGGTCGGAAGGTGGAAACAGGTGATGGCAGCGCCAAAGCACAAGCAATGAGAGAGTGATAGTGAGAGAGAGGGCACGGCGTGGTTGTAGCACAAAGGTGAAAAGTGAAGGAAACAGATAAAGTTGAGGCAATGTTTGGCTGAAGGGCAGGAGAAAGAAAGGCGGGTGAATAAGGTTAACAAGTGAAGGATAGCAAAGTAAGAGGCGAATAGCGGAAAGTGAACCAAAGCAGAAAAGTAATAAAACCCAGTAAGCAAGATTCAGTTTAAATCAGACCGAAAGCGAAGCAGCGCACTTAACGGCAGACAAGCGGCGTAGGAAGTAGGGAAACAGCGAAAAGTCATTAGCTGAAAGGTGGAAAAATGCTGTAAAACTAAAAACAGAACTCAAACAAATGCACACACACATACACACAGAAATATACACGTGCATGTAAGCGTGCAGAAGGCAATAAGGCGGCTAAGGTACGCCGTGGCGGATACGTAATGCCATGAGCGAATACGAAAAAGCGCGAAAAATGCAACGGCACAGACGTACAGTTAGCATAGGTATATGAACATATATATGCGTGCATATGTAGATATGTGTGTGTATGCGGGTTTTTAAGCGCGCGACGTCGTGGTAGGATAATAGAAGCCCTAACTAAGCAAACTAGCATTAGCTGAGTGCAGTTGCTTTCGTTGCTGGTAACAACTAGATATGCTCATATGTGTGTGTGTGTTGCATGCTGCTATTGTTGATGGGCACTGCACATCGCCAACACCGCCGTACTCGCGTGCTTAAGAGCATGAGTAAGTGATTGCATTGTGGCTGATAAATATTTAAAATGCTTGTCAATGGAATGTCGATGGCTGGTAATAAGCATCGGGTAAATAAGTTTTATAAAAGTATATCTAATAAATTAAGTGAATAAAGCATGAAGCGTACGGTAAATGTGCATTTGCGGAAAAAGCTTGTAAAATAGCGGCAAAAAGGCACAAAATGGCAGACACTTCAATGATAAGTCAATGAAAAGGAAAATTGTGTAGTAAGAAATGAGCGCAAGCGTAATGTAAAAGTTTGAATGCCTCTTGCTGAAGTATCATTGAACTAGAAATTTTTGGTATACCAGCGTAATCCTTTACAATATAAGCGTCTGGCTAACAAATTCGTCGACGAGGTTTTGTAAACTCAACACATTTACTAAAAAAATATTCCGGTTTTTGACCGATAATCGCGTCGAGAAGCTGAATTTTATAAATTTTTTGAAGAAAGCATAATGCATGTTGAGTTTGATTAAATTAAGTAGAAAGAAAATATGATGTGTCGTTAGAAATTTACTCATTTACTGAAAAGGGGATTTGAAATTAGAGAAGGTGTAATTAATTGAATTTGTTACGATCTTTTAAGTATAATTCGTTCTAGAAAAATTGTTTGAAATCATAATTTGAATTCCTTTATACTCCAACCAAATTGAACAGAAAATAAGAATGACGTCACATATATTTTAATGAATATGTTCAAAACATGATTAAAAATTACATATGTATATGAGGAATTTTATTCATCACTTAGAAATGTGGAAATAAAATTGAAAAAAATTAGGCACGCTTCTTTCCAAAAACAAAAATTAAAAAAAAAATATAATTGACCTCGATTATTTTTTCATATATATTATTTAATCCTGATTTCAACGTTTTACTAACATTCAGTTTGTTGTAAATTTATGTAAGCTTGGTTTCTATATCAGGTATAAATATTTTTATTAAATCTGATGGTTCACAACTTATTTGGACCAGCAATGAAAAGTTTTACTCTCTTAAGGCCATAACAATTTTTGTGGAAGTAAAAGTTATTACAAATAAATGTGTGGTACGGTTTTTTATTGTATTATTAATTTCTATAACACATTTAGAAAATTATCCTAAGTTTTCAAGTTGACCCCAGTAATGGTTTCGGAGATACACTCTTGTACGCTCGAGGATAGCGCGGCTAAGTGCGTTGTCTTTAAACACGTTTTTCTCGATACTGTGTTTTTGAAGTCGGTTGGTAAGATTTCTCAAAAACTACTCAACTGATCTTAAAGAGTTGTAAGTAGTGTTTTTTTTTTTTTTTTTTTTTTTTTTTTTTTTTTTTTTTTTTTTTTTTTTTTTTTTTTTTTTTTTTTTTTTTTTTTTTTTTTGTGGTTACAACTATTTGAGACAGTGAAGTGTTGCGAAATCATCACAAAAATTTTAATGTTTTTGTAAAAATGTCTGCCAAAAATCCAATTTCAGTTTTTATCTTCCTCCATCGCGAGTGTACCTTTTATCCGATGGGTCACCGGAACTGGCGCCGCAATGACCGTGTTGTGTGAAAGATTTTTACTTTGGATCTATAACAATTACAATGGGAATTTGTTTTGAAAAATTTAAACTTGTTGAGATTTACTGTATATACATACATATACTCAATTTTTAACGTAAAATTTCTAAACAAGCCAATTCATTTTTTCTTTTATATTCAGTTTAATGAACGAGGTTTCTATCATTTCTTTTACATCCACTTGCGATTACAAGATTCGAAGCCATACTTTATAGCTTAATAATAACACGTTAAAGAAACCTCTAACCTGTTTTTTTCTTGGAAAACTTGAGCACTTATTGTAAAATAATTAATGATTATGAATCCAATTTAACAGGCGTGAAAGGCATCTAAGCAGAAGTAGTTCATGTTCACAAATTCAGCAAATAAATTCTCAATTAACATTACTTCCTCTGTCGGCTGCACCTTGGATTAAGTGGTTTGAGAAGAGCGAATGTTAATTATACCACGCAAGCATGAATGTGACTTCAAAATCGCATAACTGTTTATTGATTAACGCTTTGACAGGTTATTCACAATTCACAAAGGAAGACGTTATTACGAATTTCCAGAAATAGATACTTCGAATCGGAACCTTTGCAGACACGCACGACTGCGCCTATAACGACATAAACCAACACATGCATATACACATAGGTAAAGAACATGAATGACAAACGTGCTATAAATATGAATGTAAAGGAGCCGAAAAAAAAACATGGTGGCGCTGAGTACATTGACATTAAAGTAGAAAGCGGAAAACGGAAGGGAAGTTAAAAGGGAAAAATATTGATGAGGATGATGAAGCAGTGCAAAAGCTACCAACCACCTTAGTCGATGTTGTAACGCTGGAAATTATACTCTAGGCATGGCAGGCAAATGTCGGCAGCGATATAAAATTACGGTAGTGTGTACAGCAACAACAATAGTGAGTACAGTGAAACCGAATATAGCAACTGTAATAACCAACAAAAAAACATGACTGTATGGTGGTAAAAGGTACAGACTGCATATTCATACATAAATGTAGATGTCATCACCTAAAATGTAAAACGATATAACATCAAAAAAATCGAAATTGAGTTTTTTCTTTCTTACGATTCCCTACATTATATTACATATAATAAAATAAAATAATACTTTCAGCTTCTACTGTCAGATAAAACCAATATGTAATCATTTTATAACCGAAGCTCAAATTTTGTTTCAATATGTGTGGTTTCTCTTGCAACGTTTTTGCTTCGCCTGCAAACTTATGAAAAGTAAAGTCACGTTATTTTGTATTTTAGGTGACGATATACCATTATATTTTTTCTGACTTTATAAACACATTTTGTAACTGCGCATGAGGAAATTTGCTTTCAGTCTGAAGGTCACAGGTTCAGTTATCAGCAAAACTCATTTAAAAGCAAACAAATTTCAAGTTTTCTGTTGAAATTTTTGTATTGAATAAATAAATCTTTCCAATAAAAGCATCTACCTAACACTGTTAGCTAACCCAAAAATGCAAATCGAACGAAATACGCGGCCTAAATCTCTTTACCCATAACTTTTCAATAATTTGCATGTATGTGATATATGTATGTATATGGCAAAGTGTTAAAAAAGTGCGCTAACCTCGAGAGTGTAATAAAAATATGTAAAGCTCTTTGGCCAAGAGTCGTAAGAACGAATCGCTACAATGGCTCAAGTGGCTGCATATGGTGGCACCTGCAACCAATGTTCACCGCAGTTTATCGCTGCATTTTCTTCTTACGTTTTTTACAATTTTACGGTTTCACAGACCGGCCGTCACTGCTGGTTCGGTGAGGCAGGCGTGTTGAGGTTAACTAGGCGGCACAATTGCTTTTTCAGGGACACAAACAAATTGAGTTGCATGTGTGTGTGCAGGATTTGTATTTAGGCTAGTGTTGGAAAGTATCGAATACTTTTGAAGATTAGTATTTTTTTTTTTAAGTATAGACGGCTTGAAGACTTAAATAATTTGATGTAAAGAAATTATGTATTAAATGAAAAAAAGAACAAAAAGCTTAAATTTATACCGAAAAATTCGATTCGGCTTTAAAACCTACTTCCTTAAGGAGTTGTATACAGTTAAAAGGCCGGAAAAAGCGAATTTTCCAGAACTTTTTTCTAAAAAAAAACTTTTAAATTCATTGATGCAAGCATTTGTGCACATATTATGGTGTCTTTTAACTGTATTTTAAGGCTGAGTATTAGTAAAGTATTTAATAGGAAATAATTATAGCTGATCTGTGTTTGTCTGTATAATAAAAATGTAGACTGATATAAAACTTAACAGTTTCTTCACTTTGCTTCGTTTAATGTTCGGTGAAGAAGCTCCAGAAAATTCTTCAAATGAAGTGAAGAGTTTTATAAGGATATATATAGTAGTTCGATATAGTTCAGCATTCTCACTGACAAA